GATGCTTCTCATGCAGCTAAAGTCGTCCTGTCTGTCTATCTATCTATCTGCAATGATATTGTCAAATATACTTAAGTCATACACCCATCAAAATTGATAGACAACATGTGTGTGTATGGAATTATTTAATTGAAATTAATGTTTGTTTTAGATTGGTGAGAGAAGCCTCTATAACTATTCATCAACAATTGTAAGGCTAATGGAAATTTGGCTTGAAAATGGTTATCGACTTCGGCAATTGAGCTAGAAAACTAACAGAAAATGGCTAAACAATTGCAAGAAAAACAAACATAACTAGCTAGAGAACAGGTAGGAAAACCGCAAAAAATCCACCAGGGAATAACTAGAAATCCCACTAAAAAAGGATAGAAAACCCGCTATAAATGACTATATAACCTGCTATAAATATATAGAAAAACCCTCCGTCAGACAACGCAGTTCTAATTCGCATTAAAAATATTCCTGAAAACCCCGAAAACCGCAAAAAACAGAGACTTAAAAGTTATGGTTATTTATTTTTTTAGACAAATATACTGCTGAGGATTGTGGGTTTATTTGAATGTACTGTCGTGCAGCCATGTATTTTGACCAAGTTTGTTAACATTTCAGATTTTCAAACATTTCAGAAAAGGTTGCCCATCCAGCATTCAAAACTCTCACGTATGAAGTTTCACTTCAAAAAAATAATTCATTGAGCTACATTTTGTAGCAAGTTGCTTGCAAATAATTGGAATTATAATCTACCAATATTCATTCGCTTGATTTGTAAGTACATATCTACAATACACCAATTTTTAATTGATGGTAGAAGCAAAAATTGTGAATGGAAATATATTTTTTAATTTGATTTAATTTTTATAATTCGCTTTTAACTGATTCTAAGCTACCTTTTCTGTAAACTTTTCTCTTTTTATTTGGTAGATCTTGATCTATTGCTCCAACTTGGTGCTTATAATGCTTTTTTATAACTCTTATATTGCTTCCTCATGTCGACAGAGTCATTGTTTGTTGACATAAAAATATATTTAAATGTAATATAAACTATAAACACTTACAATAATATTTACTGCCCAATATCTATATTTGAAAACCAACTTGCAACACTTCTTTTTCGGAGCATTTATCATGGCGTCAGTCTTCCCAACCTTTCGAGCCTTTCAAGTGGTATTTGAAGTCCACAAACGTGCTCATTCAGCACGATGGCGACTCGTTTGAAGTAGTACACATACATATATACACGTATATAATACAGTAAAACTAATATATTTACGCTGATTGTTTCGGACCCAACATTCACGAAGATTAATGCGTCAGCCAACAAGATTGTGACAAATTCAATCAAACAAAACAGCCCTTTCTTCAACAAAAAAAAAAAAAATCAAATTTCAAATTTGCAAACAGTCTGCGTCTAAGTCTCATTTTACCGGCTGGCGATGGGGGAACAACACAGAAAACATTTCACACACGAGAATGCCGAGCACCCAAATGGTATTGGTCGATGTACTTGAATTATTTGTATTCAAAAGATACCAAGGAAAATGGAGTGTGGTTCAGCCTGTAAATATTACATACCCGTACATACTCGTATATATATAGAGTGCTCCCCCAAATTTCACTTGCCGTTCTAGCCGGCAAAGCCCGACGACAATAAAAATGTCGAAAACACTGCAAGCATTAACGGTAAAACAATTTTCATAAATCTCAAATTATTGCCAAGCAGACGGGTACATACAAGAATGAAAAAAAAAAAACAGGAAAAAACAGGGACAGGAAAGCAATATCATTTAAGCCACATTTTATGGAAAGTTGAATCACTCGCTGTTTGGTCTGCCGCTTACTCCACATTACATTTCATATGGGAGAACGTTTGAGCCTTCTCTACAACCTTCAATTGTGTTCGGGCTTAAACACGCTTTATAGTTTACAGCATTTCCGATCCCTAACATCTGCGAGGCATTTCCCGTGCTTAAAGCGCGGACTAGCCGGAAATTGAATATCATAATTATTTGAGCGGGGCTGTTCTCGCGAAATTGGAAAAGATGTGGATATTTATTTTTATTTTATTTACTTTTATTTACTGCTTTTCAATTGGATGATTGAGTGCTTTTTAGGAATCAACAAATTTGCTTTAAAAAAAATTAATGCTATTTGATTTCCTACTTTTAGGTCCTGCAGAGATAAAGAAAGAGGAAGATATAAATTTCATACTTCCGGCAAAATATAATTCTTATATTAATTCGTTGGGCTTTATTGAAATATGTATTTTTTTTCACAATCAAACGCGACTGGAATTCATTTAATTATGTACTTATATCCAATCAAATTTTGTGCTCCAAATAAAGTTAAACATTTGGGACCAATTTATCTCAAAGAAGAGGATTCAAAATAAGAATACGACTTTATAAGATGAATAAAATTTTGGAGCTGATTTTATTTTTTAAAACTCTAGGTTCTTAAACTTTGCAACTGGGTTGGAAAAGCTGAGCAATGTTTTGAAAATATTGAATGTCAATCATTTTTAATTTTCAGATACTTGGCAGTACAATTCATCATGTTTATATTAAAACCACAGTGAATATTATATTTTATGTAGTTAGGTGGAAATACAAGTATATATATTCTTTATTTAAATATATCCGCCTATCCGTTCAGTTCCACTTTGTGCCACAAAAGCCGATATTTTGACATCAAATCAAAAATTTTATAGAAACAAAAAATCTTCATTTAATATTACTTTTTTTGTAATGCATACCAAAAAAAAAACGAAAATAAACAGAACAAATTAGAATGCTACTCAACTCTGCTTTTCCATTGGCAACTTATGTTTATTCAGTAGCAACTACTAGTGCTAATCAGAGATGAGCGACTAAAAAAAGGCATTAAAATAGGGCCAAATCTGTAGTGCCAATAATTAACGCTTGGCATTCTTTAGAGTATAAAAACCACACTATACAAGTACAAGTATGTTGCATTTTATTTAAGCACTCTAAGCCTGATTGCAGAAATGAAGATATTTCCAACCTAACCTTATCACAACCCTGACAAATTCCAATCACCCTCAAAAGTATTTGAAGCGCTATTAGTACTTATTGCAAATTTGCTTATGCAAAGCAATATTTATGTAAGTAGATGCAGATTAATTTTTAGTTGAGCCGTCATTGTAATACAAAAATTTAAATAAGCACCACAAGCCCATCGGCAGCGCAAACAAGTCCTCACGAGTCACTTGGCAATTCACACGCAAGCAGTTTACAACTGATGTTGAATAAAGGAAATAAACACGTTTTATTTTGTGCATGATTTGTCACACACGGAACTGGTACGTGACAATTTCTGCCATTCCGCCTGGAGGCGTATTCGTTTCCGTTTGACTTTTTCGAAGTTAATTTTTTGACCCTCTCGCCCGCTTCTGCCTTTGTTTATCCAATGATTGTTGTTTATGAAGGGCGCGTGAGGGTGTACCATAACTGAGATACGGATACAAACGAGGACATACACACATACATACATACTCGTACATACTCGTACATATAGACAGACACACTCGCGCTCAAATCAGTTCTACAATAATCCCATTACAATGCAACGAACGGGCTCACTGACTTTCAAAGCAACGGCACAAGCTTATTCCGCCTTCCTAGTCCTCGATGGTTAGCTAGTTGTGCGCTCACGTGGGAATTTCAATTGTGCTTGCTGCTACTTATAAGCAATGTTGTCATATAAAATATGTATTATGCGTATATTCAATAATTTTTAGTTTGAAATAATCACTTAAGGAATTGTTCCTACAAATGCCGTGCGTGGGGTTGAGTTAACTGATGTGGAAGGAGAGAAAGGGTGCCCCAGAAAAAAACCACAATAACAAAACGCTTTGCACTGCCGTTCCACACATCTATCCGAGTCGATCGTCTGCTTATGACTAACTCTCTCTGCTCACAGCAGCTCTCTTGCAGCTCACAATACTATACTATTCAATTTTATTCACGCAATATTATTTAAGAGAGAATTTACCGTAAGCTTATTAACAGAGCGGGGTGTGAGAGAGGCAATTAGCATGTCATAATTGGAGAGATGCCACTGGCCTGCAGCATTTATGTGGGACCTGGGATACTTTTAACGGAAATAAAGGATCCAAGGCTCCAATTTAATATGTTTTAATAGTTTTAATGAATATAATTATTCATTTGTAGTACAAGAAAATGTCTAATTGAATTATTTAGCAACGGTCTTGTTTCACATCTTCTTTTCCACTCCTCTCTCATCGTTCGACTTCATCTATTCTTCATGCATGTGGTGAATTTGGTGGCCTGTTGGCACTACGTTGCCAGACCCATTCCCACATTTATTACTAATTTATTGACAAATGTAAATGTACAGGGTGCGCCATATTGAATAATATTGAATAACTTTGTCATTAGTGAACCGATTGACTTGAGTAGACCAGTGTTGAAAACCTCACTTCAAGAAATTGTACAGAACCAAATTAAATAAAAATATCTCATACTTGAAAATCGGTTGTTTATTTTCAAAGATATTCAATGTTTACATACCGACATAAAAGATGGCGCACCCTGTATGCTGTTCAAACTGTACATGAACATGTCTTCTATGTATGTATTAATTAAATTTTCTTTATTAATTTAATTAATTAATTAAATTTTTTTTAATAATTTAATATAAACAAATATATTTTTAATTTTCCCGTTTTGTGGAGTACATTAATTAATTAATTTTTTTTTTAATAATTTAATTTAAAAAATTTTTTTTTTAATTTTTCCTTTTTGTGGAGGCTATTTTACTGTCGGGCTTGGTCGACTGTAGCGTTCTATCTTGTTTTTTTCTGAATACCCCCAGAATTGAATTGAATTCTAAGATATGAGCGAACCAGTTACAGCTGCTCCTTTCTTTTCTTCTTGACATGACACAACTTTTGATCTGCTCTGCCAACTTTGTCATAAAAAATAAACAATATATAGCAAACATAGCCTCCACATAGTAATTTCCTGGCTAGGCAAAAAGCAATAGTTTTAAGCATGACCGAACAGTATGTGCCGTCGAATGCCGAATCTGTTGTACTATACGCGTCTTATCAACGCCGTTCTCGTGTGTAAATGGAATAATCACAGGACCTGTAGGCTTCGCCACAGAAAACTCGCCTTTTCGTTTGTTCCTTGCCCATGTCTGAGCGCTCTCAATGTGTGTGCGATCCTTGCTCTGGCTAACATCCGGTGGCGCAAATGGATGAGGTCGGTACATTGCACCAGTGTCGATGAGAAGGAGGTCGCAACTAAGCGGAAGGACACCTACGATACACTAAGAAGAATACTCGCTTTTCTCTATGAGCGCATTGTGGTGCGAAATTCCCCGAAAGCCGAACCGTGTGAAGCAAACAGTGAAAGGTATAAGGGGCATCGAGCCACATTTCGCGACATAACCATACAGGAGTATGAGAACAGATTGCGTTCATACTCGATGCCAGATAAGATCTTCCGATATTTTGCCACAATTAAGATGAAGAACGAAGCTGGACGATGGGAAATATTCATGACACCGAGAGATTTCTTACGCGCTATAACACCAGGTCTACGACAACCCGAAAACCTTGGCTTAGACAGATTCCGTAAGGTAGACCAGAGCCATATTAATCAGCTTCCCCTCCTGCCAAAGGATAGTATTTTCTACAAATTTCGTTCCGATGGCCTGTTAACTTTTGGTGACTACGTTTTCCTAGTAATGTTAATGTCAATTAGCGAGCGTTACTTTGAGATCGGGTTTCGCCTATTCGATCGCGATGGGGATGGCGACCTCACCAAAGAAGACCTACGTTTCATGACGGAGAGTGTTGGCAATGGCGATGGTGTGCTTACGAACCATAATCTGAGCCGTTACTTTTTTGGGCAGAATCACAATCAAACGTGCAGCATAGAGAAGTTTCAACAATTTCAGCAGCAGGTCCATGAGGAGGTACATAAAATGGAGTTTAATATGCTGGCCAAGAAAACTGGGGCGAATAATAAGAAAGCCATCGGCGAAGTGGCCTTCGCTAAAATGTTGCTCAGCTACGCACGCATGCCCATAGCGGAGAAGACGGAAATACTGAAGCGTATTCAGAAAAAATTCACCAAGAACAGTCAAGGAATTTCGCTGACTGAGTTCCTGATGTTCTTTAAATTTGTCAAGGATATGGCTGCAATCGATACAGCGCTCACCTTCTACTACCTATCTGGGGCAAATATCTCTCGCAGTACGCTGCGACAAGTGTCCCATGTGGTGGTCGGCGTCAGTCTGTCCGATCATCTGATTGATGTCATCTATACGGTCTTCGATACAGATAATAATGGCATACTCAGTCGCAGCGAGTTCATCAGCGTGCTGCGGGACCGTAGTTCGGGACGCATCAAAAAAAATAAATCCATAGGCCTCGCTCAAATGCTATCTATATTGTACAGATGTGCTGTTGACACGTCTCCCATTTAATAGCTACTTGTCGCCACTGTGGCTTACACACGAGTACATATACTTGTATGTTCCGGCCTTGCATCGCCCCCTCAATCATTTTTATGGCCAAATCAAAATAAATTGTTAAGGTATGTTGTATAAAATAGAAGAAGAAAAACAGCACGCTCAGCATTTTAAATTGCAGGCAAGCAAAACAGAAGCACTCCGAATTTTATCGCAGGCTCCCAATCCCAGTGATAACAAAAACAACTGCTATTTTCGGTAGACCCTTTAGGCAGTTCTTGTTGTTGTCACACACGTGTGTGTACTACATACATGTATGTACCTGCAGCGTCCTTTAACTGTTATTTCACACACACACACACACACATATGGATTTTAGTACAATTTTACTCGACAATCACTGGACTTTTCATGTTTTTCATGAGTTTTTCACATTTTATGCTTTTAGTCTCTTAGCTATTAGCTTCTGCACTGCTGCCCTCTTCATCGAATTCTGAATACACTTTGCTCCATTGTCAGAAAGCTGCTTATAAAGCTGCCTAGATGTGCAACTAAAGTTACAACTCACGGCTTAGGGAGTCACCTGATGTCCTGGCTGGCCGGAGTGCAAATGTAGTTGTAGGGACGTTCAGCTGAGCTGCAGATGATAGTCTCGGTTGCACTGTCACCTGGTCGAAGGTATGTTCTACTTGTATGTTGTATATTGGAGCTATAAAGGATGTCAGATGCACGATGAACTCTTTGAGGGAGCATTGTATCTGTTTATGGTATAAAGGATGTCTTTAACACGCAATACTATTCGCTATGACTGATTGCATAAATAAAACAATATATTGGATTGATCCTTGCAGGGTTTAGTAAGTGCACAGTTTATTTTTTATTCATTTACTTATTTGTTTTATTAAATCAACAAATGGGCTACACATATAGTTTGTAGTACAATTTTACTCGACAATCACTGGACTTTTCATGTCATGGCCCGATTCTCAGCCAAATGTTATCATAGACGTTATAGATTTAACAAAACAGTAAGTAGAGGGGAAAACCAAAATCTAAGCAATATTTTTACACGGTATATTGATTCCAGAAAAAGTCGTGTAAAAAAGACTTTGATCATTTGCTATTTTAAATCGTACTAAATGGAATGACGTCGGTAACCATATATCAAATTTTTAATTTTCAAACCGTGCTAAATCAAAACCGTGTAAAAAAGACCGTGTAAAAACAGAATTAGGTGTATAATAATTAAGGAAACAGACACAGAAAAGAAAAATCTCCAACCCGCTGGGCGAAGTTTTATTGCCAGTCCGGAAAGCTATTTCGCCGGAGACAACTATAAAGGACAGCTCTCTCTGAGAAATCTGGAGGAAATAAATTCATAAAATTGTTCACAGCGTAATTGGTTGTGAGTCTAGGCGAAAGGATGAATGGAAAAAATGCCCAAGGAACTGAGAAATTAATTTACAGAAGAAAAAATATGTCCCTCAGAATAGAGTTAAGTCAGAATAGAGTCATCTCTGATGATATGGATTTGAACTCTCACCTTGTTTGTTGGCATGAACTTGACGACCTTCTGCTTTATCAGTTGTGCCTTTGCTGGTTTATTGAATATAAATTGAACCATTATATAGTAGTATAGTAAGGCCTATTTATAATGACCTATCATGACCATTTACATGAACTTGTCATTGTACAGGTCGCTGCTAAATCACCGTTGCTGGCTTCTGGTTTATGACTGTTGGTTTGCTCTTTATTGCTAAATCTTAAGCTTATTGTTGTTTTTGTTTTTTTGCTCCGGCCATACTCTAAGCTGCAACTGCCTTAGAAATGCAAATAAGTACATGTATGTATCAGCTTATAGGCCTGGTAGTCAAATTGTTTTTCATCGCAATATTTCCATTGCACTACACTTTGCAAATAAAAGTAAGACCTTCTGAAATTTTTAATTGCATGTTGCTCTATTACTCCTAGAAAGGACGTAGCAAAAGCGATTTAATCGACGTTCACATTTAGAATATCCCTTTTCGTTCACCAACAACATGTGCTACAGAATATCAAAATCGGTTTAGAAGAAGTCTGCCATTACGTTTATTTTAAATGCAGAATTGTTGATGTTTGTTATATTTTCTAACATTTCTTTAATTTTTTTTTTAAAAAGTGTTGCACGAAACCTTAAATTTGATATGAAAAATAAGTCGAGTTCATAATATAAAAGAATCTGGCCTCATTTTTAAAAACAGTTTGCAATAGGATGTTTGTTTAAATGGATTTAAAATGCAAAACCGTGTTTAGCGTTCCGACTTCTCTCGGCCAATATTAGCAACAGTCTAGGCCGTATTACCCTTCCAACAATTGAGAAGAGCTTCCACACTGACGTTTAATAAAGCAGCCTAGAGCTCTATGCAGCATCTTGTTTGTTAAACAATCTTTTTTTGTAACTATCTTTGTTTATTTATTGAATCTCAGCCTGTTTCCTTCAGGCAGTATGAATAGTTAATCAAATCTTATTTTAATTTAATGTTAATATCTTTTACAATTAACTCTTGAATTGTATTCGACCCCGACTGAGAAATTTTGTCGCTGGGCTGCCTGGTTGTTACCTGAAACGTGGATTAGAGATCCAATGCAAGAGGATTTGAATGTGGAACGAACATTGTTGGAGTTGTGTAATCTCTTATCCTACGAGTTTTATGTGGAAGTCTCTCTGAAAGCTCTCGTTTGTAGGTTTACAGTTTTCGAAACTGAATCGATTTTAGTGCCAGCAAGGAGTGTGAACAACTACTTACTACCTTCCCCCTTGCACATTTCAAAAATCAAAGTTATATATGTATCTACCCGTACTATATGCATTTACATATCATGTGCTTGCAGTTGTGCTCACTCGAGCACTTGTCAAGGAATGAAACTTTTGACTTGTTCTAGAGGAAACTTTGTACACATAAAGTGCGATAAAAATAAACAGGAAACTTGAGCGCAGGATGTAACTTACGGGTGGGCGCATATAACAGACACTGGACCCACGCACTGTGCGTCAACTAAATTCTATTTTAACAAAAAGGACACGCTCATTTGTGAACCAAAGGCAACTTGCTTTAATTAAAGAGCCAAGACGCCATCGCTTATTATGTATATATAAGTATATATTTTACTGCTGACCTTTAGAATACCCGCATATTGTGGCTTTAAAAAGCAAACAGCATTTTGTAAAAGATGTACTTTTTTGTTTATACAAGTAGCTTAAAGGTCAACACTAAAAGATTCATAAACAGCGGTCGTGGCTTACAGCTTTATACACACATAGCATAAGAGTCCTTTATCAATGACTTCTTGAAAGCGGTTCATCAATATTATATGAACTCAATTAATTTCGTATTATTAGTCAAATAATTGGCAGCATCTTGCTTGACCTTTAAAGTTGAGCAACTTTTCCGTTTTTAGAAAACCTTTTAGTTGTTGTTGCAATGTTTGTAGCTAATCTGTCGAAATTAAAATGTACAATAACAAGTAAAAAAGCTAAAGTCGGGTGTCCCGACTTTGAAATACTCTGTACATATGCTTAGAATAATTAGAGAAATTAAAAAAGTAAGAGAATTAAAAAAAAAAATTTGATCGATTTTACCCCTTTTGATATTCGAACTCACGTAATTGCACACATACAAAGCAATTGATAGAATAATGTCGGTCTAACATCCAAGACGGCTCAGCTGCTCCCATTTTCTCTGATACTGTAATATTTCAAATTGTGCTCTATTCCAATACATATATTATAAATAGTGTGTATATGAATCAAAATAATTATTCTGAGTTAAAAATAATATTTATCGGCGTTGTTCCTGAAATAAAATTATGAAATGAAATAAATTTAAAGAAAATTAAAAAAGAATCTTTTAAATTTTATAAAACCCAAAAAAACTGTCTTAACCTAAACTAGTGATGTAAATACTTGTATGCATCGATACATCGATGTATCAATTTTTACGTAAGCGACTGTTTACGTTTTTACTCGATGTTTGTTGATTCGATGTTTCGATAGATTTTTATAAAAATATCGATGTTACGGACATTTCTAAGAATCTCCCAAAAAATACACACAAGTAATAAAACTGTGATATTGCTTGTTGAAAAGAAGTGCTAAAGAACTGCTAAGAAAACATGACAAAACAAAATTATTATTATTACAAATTTTTATGACAAATCGATGTATCGATTTTAATTTTTCGATACATCGCTGCATCGATGTTCGTCATGGCGATTTTCGTTTCCGATGTAAAACATCGATGTTTATTTAAGATTTACATCACTAACCTAAACAGAACTAAAATCACAATTTTTCAAGAATAAAAATATTTCTTGCGTTGTACCAGACTCAACAAACTTCTCTAGTGAATTGAATTTGTTCAATAATATCAGTAAAATAAATATAGCAAAGAATAAAATATCTTAAAATTTAAAAAAAAAAATGTACTAGAATTTCGTAGCTAATCGTACTTTTGTCGCTATATGGAATTGATTTAAGCACATAATCCTTAATTTTTTCTCTGTGTGTAGAATAGTTGGGCTTCTAACTATTCACAAATTTACTGAGCAATATTTAAATTTGTAAATTATGCAGTTTTATAGTTTTTGGACGTGTAGTGTGGAAAATATTGTTTCCCACACACTTATGCATCATCACAAAAAACAAATACGCACAAGATCCATGCGTTTATACATACTCGTACACCTACACACCTATGTGAAAGGCACTTATTTGTTTAAACTGAATTTTGGCATAACGCACATGAATTAAGAAGGGCGCCTCCGATCTGTAAGCTAGTACGGGGCCACTCCAGCAGCTCCAGGAGATATTCTAGCTAGGAATATGGGGGAGGGGGGTGTCCGCCCCTTGGTTCAACTTTCGAATCTGAATTCATGCATACGTGTGCATTTATAACGAGCAATTGGAGGATTCTTGCACAAAATATGGACGAGGAATCGTTTTTTTTTTTCTTATCAGGCATGGCAATACACTTTGCTGGCGCTGCTGCATACTTTAAGGCGTCTTTAATTTACATAAGCGAAGCTTAACTGTGAATGTGTGCTGGTTGCTGGTGAAGCGTAATTGAGTTTCTGACTTTTGCACTCTTTAAGCCATTTTAGGTCTGGCAATACTCGCTGCTAGCGCTTAAAGGTTTTCAAAAAGTTGTCATTTAAAAGGATTAAAAACTTTTTCACATCAT